GCAACCCTCGACTTCACGTCGAGTCCAATTTGCATGTCCCTGGAAGCATCATTCAGCTTCTTAATCCAGTCAGCGGCCTCAGATATGTCGCTCTTGCCATCAAATGACTTGCACCCCAAGGCCCTAGCCTCCTTGAGGTACTTGGAGATACGCATCATCATGTCTACCCCGAATTCCCCAGATGGAGCACTAGAAGCACATCGGCTTCCCTGCCCCATGGTTTGCCTAGCTTGGTTAGCTTGACGTCGTTGCTCTCTCTTTGCTTTGTTTTCTAGGTACCATTCTAGTACCTCACTCATACAGTCATAATAAGGATCGTCATACTCATCTTCTTCATCAAAGCCCTCCCCGTTGTACGGGGTCTCCTCTTGCTCCGTACTTGGAGCATAGGTGAAATCGTCCGGTTCTGTGGCCCAAGATGGGTGCACAGAACCGACACGCTTACTACTTGTTGTCGGCGTTGTAGAACGCCCACGACCCCTGCCTCGGCCTCCTCCTCGGCCTTGGCCCCAGCCTCTACCCCTAGAGGTCCGTGATTCGGCCCATGTGTCGTGCCTGGTGGCCCCCGGTGCACGACCTGTTGGGTTCCTCCTAGTTATCCTGCGTCCACCCTCCATTTCTGAAAGAAATCATGAATGAGCCATTAGACTCGTTTCAATGTCAATTGACAGAATAGTACAAAAGACACCCTTCGTCCACCATTATGGCCAACAAACTGCTAAGGGTACCGTCTTAACAATAAGAGGTCAATAACTTGGTTTCCAACGGTTCCTTAGGTACAAAAACTTTTTGTTCATGGTTTTGTTTAAAACTTTTTTATGATAAAATATTGAGAGGATAACTATATAGTTTAGAAATCAATGGCTCTGATACCATTTAATTGTCATGTAGACAACCGCCGTACAACCCAATAAGAATAACAACAATTCATCCCTATTGAATTGTACAAGGCGTGCGATTGATTCTATTGCCAAATCGAATAGTAAACGCATACAATCAACAACAATATCATAATCAAACCACTGCGGAAATAATAATATATTTGATACTTAGCCACACATGGCAAACACGGGCACGCAGGTCCCCAAATGTTTTAATCTAAAAACATTGTTAAAAATATCCATGAACAAATTCCATGTTTGAAAATGAGAATGGAAACACGAACCAAGTCTTCCTTATTTGATGATCACCCTAGACGAAGGTGCAGGTAGTAGGACTCTAGCCTCAATCTGAAAAATAGTGAGGCCCCCGGAGGGGTCAGTACTACACAGAAAGAAGTATTAATGACAAACAGGCTATATGAGGAATAACTAATGTTTCAGACACGAGACCCAAAAATAGGGTGATACATACATATAGGTGTAACTCATCCACCCGATGATACCTACCGTATATATACTAGTAAAATTCTTAACGCGTAGGTCATTTACATTTAGAGAGTATTTTAGAGATAAAGTCCTTAATTACCCAACCTTTCTCATCTTTGTCCCAAATGCCTAGCTCACTAGCTATATTCTACATCCGTACTATACTACCGAGTGGTTTAGGATCATTTACCATCCAAGGCACTCAACCCAACCTGGAGTATTTAGGATCATTTGCCGTCCAAGGGTACTCAACCCCAACTTGAAGTATTCTGGATCATTTACCGCCCAAGAGTACTCAACCCCAACCTGGAGTATTTAGGATCATTTACCGTCCAAGGGTATTGAACCCCAACCTTATTTCTACCAAATCCTAACCTGGAAATGGCTAACCTTTTATTCCTTCAACTATGGACAATACCTAGCCCTATAGTCGTATAATAATCCTTAGTAACCAACGTGGATGGGTCCCACCCGAACGACCCACATATACTTACTCAAAACCTGCATATTGGATGTTTTACCCAATACCCGGTCGGATGTAGTGAGGCAGTAGCCCCTGGGGCTGTTTTTAACTAATACCCGGTCGGATATTTACCCATACCCGGTCAGGTATAGCCTCTGACTTGGCGGACAACGCCAGCTTGACTGTCCAAACGAAGTCCGATTAACGTGAAATTTTATACACTTGTATTTCTTGACGTCCTTAATCTAAAAATACCCTTTTGGATCCTTAGAACATCATACATGATAATTTATCACATTTTTAATCATCAAACATATATAACATGCTTTTCAACTATGTTTTATATATGATCATGGCATAACAAATACTTGATTATCTTTAATCATTCCATAAAACATATTCTTGATTACTTTAGGCAATCTCATGCCTCACGCAAAAGTTATAAAGCATAAAGCCGTATTCTCACCTTAAATGAAGCTTTAATGCGTTCTACCCTTCTTGGTTGAACTCCGGTGAAACTTCGACGAGCTTTGTTGAAATCCGGTGAAACTCCGGCGAACTATTCCAACTCCGTGGAAATACTAGGAACACCTTAGACAAGTTCCAAACAAGGTTTTATAATCACAAAATCCATGTTAATACAAATAATCTCTAAGAGGTTATTTTTCCGATGAACTGGTCATTTTGGCTTCTAAGTCCGTTCTTGGACTTAGGGCTACCTTCCAACCCCTCATTCTACACTTCTAAATGTGCAGAACAATCCTAGGGGTCCTCCACATGATATATAAGTCTTATGATAAATAAAAAGTAGAGGAAAAGTTATAATAAGGTCATTACCTTAATTATCCAAGTTTTTCCTCACTTTTTGCTTCTCAGAACTCCTTCTTTTAGACCACCCTTGCTTGAGCTCGAGCTGAAACAATGGAGGCTGGTCTTGGAGATCTCTCTTTCTATTCTTTGATGCTTTGGGCTAAATAATGCATAGGAAAGAGGTAGGAGAGTCTCTCTTTGTCTCATTTGGCAATTATGTGTGTGAGTCAGGTCCACACTCATTTTTGTTCTCAAATCCTTTACTCCAGCCCACACCAACCCATATTGTGTGGCCTACTCTTGTCAAATGTGAATCTTAAAAATGTGGGGTGGCCCACATTCATGTGGGAGGTCATCCCTTTGTGTCCCAAAGTGTACACTTGGCCCCAAAACTTGTATTTTTTGGACTATTTTAATTATATTTTATTTTATCGGGTCAAATAAAATATAACACATGTTCCTAATCATTATAGGCCTTTAGAATTGATGTACATTCCCCAACTTAAATTTAGAAGTCTCCGAAATCCATTTTGGACTGTTATTTGATAAATTACCAATACCGGCAATTGGGCCTCATTTGACCAACGGGGCAACTGTATGCCCTTTCTATGGCCCAAATAAAATATCCACCACCGCATACATATTATCTAGACCAAGATAAATAAAATATGTGGTCCCGCAATTATCGGGTGGTCCCCCGTTCCTGGTGTGGGCCCCGCGTGCCATTTACTATTCACGCAAAGAACTGATAAAAATTTACAACCACATAAATTCATAAATCATCTTCAAGGTTTATTACATTATTTACTAAAAAGTAAAACACACTTGGGGACAGTGGTACACGATACGTACTAAAGGAGTGTTCGCGAAAAAGTTAAAAAAGTGTTTTTCAACTTTTGAGTTTACAAGCTTAAATAAATGTTTTCAATTGACTACTTCTGCTTAAATTAAACACTTAAAAGTTAAAAATTGAAAGCATGTGGAGGGGTGCTTTAAACGGATTTTCACTTTTTCTGTCACAAAAAAAAACACTTATTTTATCAAACACTATCAATTTTTACTTTTTAGAAGTATTTTTTCTCAAACACTATTAACTTTTAATAGTAGTATTAAACATTTTCTGTAAAATCACTTCAAAAAATTAATGTATAATACATTAATACATTAACAATATGAGAGAATTAAGTTTAACATTGTTTTTTAAATTAATGTATAATACATTAATACCCTCCAGTTCGTATTAAAGTTCTCACTTTCCTTTTAGGGATGTTCCTTATTTAAGTTCACACTTCCATTGTAGGAAACAAAACAGTGCAAAACAGTGCCAAACAGTGTCAAACAGTGTCCAAACAGTGCCAAACAGTGCACTCCACAATAAAGTCAAATTTATTTTCTTAATCTGTGTGAAGTCAAACTGGGAACTTTAATAGGAACCGGAGGTAGTAAATAAATATAGTCAAAATAGAGCATACAAATAATGCAAAATTCAATAACATACTCCTAGAGTATATAGGAGCAGAGCAAAAAATGTATTAAACCAGACAAAATGAGACTGGAAGTAAACATACTCCCTCCGTTTCTGAAACAAGTTCCACCTTTCCTTTTCTGGCAGATTCAAAATTAAGTTTCACTTTCAAATATTTCTTTATTATCTACAAAACAGTGTCAAACAATGTCAAACAGTGTCAAACAGTGTTCAAACAGTGCCAAACAGTGCACTCCACAATAAAGTCAATATTATTTTCTTAATATGTGTGAAGTCAAATGTGGAACTTATTTAGGAATCGAAGGGAGTATTAGAATAAGAGAGGAAAGATAAATAGCCAAGGCCTACATAGAGCCAAGACAAGAAAAGAATAAAGGAGATTTCTATGGTACCTCTTCAAATTTGGAGTGTACCATACATTTGCCTTTCTCACCCAATAGCATTTCATTGGGTACCCAATAGCATTTCTATGGTACCAAGAATAAATCCTTCCATTTTAACATCTGCACACAGCCAAGACGCGGATCAGCCACAAAGTCAAAGACCGGACTTATTACTCCATCAGGCAATTCAAGTCGAACGCTCTCTAAGAATTTGACAGTTTGTAAGCATTGCGAGTAATAAAGAATAAAACAACCCAAACATTCACTTATGCGTGTAACTTGTTTTATCAATGGTAGATTTGATTTTGGGCAGGGATGAATGATGATTCTTCCCCAATTTACAAAGGGAACGTGGAGAGAGAGACAAAGAGGAGACTGATTTGACATAGACTACGTTAGGCGCACATGCAGAAAGAGACAAGAGAAGTGTAGAAAGAAGGTACCCACTCTACGAAAGCCAAACATCAATATAGGACAGCTAGCCAGTCATGGTAGTCTGCCAAGATCCAGACAGAAATTCATAAAGTTTCTTTTTTAAAAGATAAAACAGCATTCTTTTCCTTTTCTTTATTCATTTATCAAGATCAAAGAAGACCCACTCACCATCTCCGATCTCCTTCTCTTTTCTCTCTTTTTTATTCAATTTCTTGATATTGTTAGTCAATCTTTGCTTCTTTACGTGTAGACCGACATATAGTAAATCTGAGAGTTCTGGGACCTCTCTGTTTTAACTTACCTTTTGGGTTAGAATAGTTTTGTAGGTAGATCGTCTTTCGTCTATATATACACATACATGTAGAGAGTGAAATAATTGCGTTTTTGACGTTTGTGTGTATCAGTCAGCGTGTCAGGTAATTTATTCTCTTCACTTCCTCTCCTTGCATTCCATTAATGTCATTCTGTTCTATGGATTATGAGTTATGACATTGATGATCTTTATGTACTTTCGTCAGATCTCCTTCAGATCGGCGCATTGCATTCTTCACTCTACAGTCCCTTTCGCATTTATTTACATCTTATCTTGTCTTTGATTTATCTTACTCGGTTTTCTTTCCATTCTAATCTGAGGGCAGAAAGTAAAAGAATCTTGAAATTGTGATTTTTATTTCCATATTCAGGAAAATCAGATGTTTTATTTGATTTCCTTACATACCCTTTTTACAGAGAGTAAATGTTACTGTTTTGACTGTTTAATACCGCAATTGTATTAATGAAGGATCACAGTGCAAATTATGGTAAATTTTAGGATTGGTATGTTATGATAAGAAGGATTAACTGATGATCCAAATAGAGAAAGTGATCGTGATTGCGTAGGACTGTATAACTGTCTTGAGTGTTGTTTTCCTTATCTGCACATGGTTTCCGTTAGGTAAGCGATTGATTAGTTCGGTTTCAACAAACTATTCCGCTAATTTATGATACTACTAGTGTCGGTCAAAAAAGGTTCCGCACTTGGACGGCTGCTTTTCTATAAAGGTTTTCTGCACTCATTGTGTACTGTGCACCCTCAAAAGAATTAAGGAGTATTAGTTTTGCTGGCTTTTGGGTTTTACTGTTCTTTTTATATATAGATAGATCCTGTTTGTTATTGGTAAACTTCATTTCAATCGAATAAGTATGTCAAAAAGCTACTTATTCTGATGCTGATAAGAGAATAACAAGTAGAATAAGCCGAAGTGGAGGCATTTTTACAGTCCAGTTGGCTAATTTTGTTTTCCGGCTGGGCAGGTAAATGATGTTAGATTAGATTTGTCCCGTTAACTCTTTTTTACTGATCTGATCTTATGAAATGATTTGGTGTTCGTAAAGTTTTCCAGCATTATGGGATTCATTCTTCTCTGTTTTGAATTGTGGTAAGTTTCAAATTGTTTTGCAGATAGTTGATATACATTTGGGGCAGGATGAAGTATAAAGATGGGAAACCCATTCACAAACAAAATTCCAGGAAAGTTCCAATGGTGCTATTGCTTGTGGTTCTGTGTGGGGTTTCGTTTTATCTCGGTGGAGTCTTCTATTCCGATAAGGGGAGTTATTCATCAACTAATAGCAATCATGTCTCCAAGGAGGTTGTACCTCTCAAGGGTAATGCTGGTGCCTCACTGCAAAACGACGCCACATTGATTCCGGAATGCAGTCCTGACTTCCAGGATTACACTCCATGCACAGATCCCAGGGTAATATTGAAAGCCAATCTCATGGTGTGATGATGTCTGTTGTTAGTACTCTATTAAATATAAAGTATCTTATCTTAGCCAAAATTTAAGATAAAAGCTCACATACCAACTCTGGAGTGCTAACTGTTATACTCAGATTGATCTTTTAAAATGAACTCGAGTCTAAATAGGGTATTTGAGTCGATTATGACCAAACAAGTAATAGATCCAACTACGACTCATAATCAATTCGACTAAGACTGAAAAGGATCACACTGATTTCAAGGTTAGTTTGCTTTGACAAACCATCAATGTGTGGGAGTGTGTTATTTCATCTAATCTAACATTAAATATATATACGGAGTATAATGTTACAAACATCTCCTATCATGTCTATTCTGGAGTTTCGTATTGCACCATGTTTAAAATGATTCTGATAATACAGAGATGGAGGAAATATAGTCTTCAAAGGCTAACTTTCATGGAACGCCACTGCCCTCCTGCATTTGATAGGATGGAATGTTTGGTCCCTCCGCCGGATGGCTACAAGGAGCCAATCAGATGGCCAAAGAGCAAGCGTGAATGTTGGTACAGGTAAAGTCTTGTTCAAATTTGCTGGCTGGATTTTGAAGGCATGATTGGATTTCAAAGTGCCCTACTCATCTAAATACATTTGGATGTGGTTGCAGAAATGTTCCATATGATTGGATCAACAAGCAAAAATCTAATCAGCATTGGTTAAAAAAAGAAGGAGAGAAGTTCCTATTTCCTGGAGGAGGAACAATGTTTCCCAATGGAGTTAGCGAATATGTTGATTCCATGGTAAGTTTGATTCCTGGAATGAAAGATGGGACGATCAGGACTGCCATTGATACTGGATGTGGGGTAAGTGCACAACTTCTTATCAAGACGGCCTTAATTTTTAGAAGCTCTATGCTAATCAAATTCTCTCTCCATCTCTTAAAGAAGTTCATAGTTTAAGGATATTAGATTTGTTTTCTTTGACTTCTGGAAGTGCCCTTTTAAATCTTACTTCGATACAATATACTGTTTTAACATTGTTGTACAGTGTATAGGTTAAATTACTTACATTACTTGAAAGTAATGGAGTAAAATTGATAAGATTTTATTCACCAAATAAGGAAAGTGTGCTTTATTTAGGGACCTTTCAAAAAGGATTACAAGAACTTTAAACAGTGACGGGCATAGAAACAGTTAGACCTAATAAAATCTTAGATATAACTGAATTTTAAGTGAAATTTTAACCAGAGAAATGTTTCAAGTATTTAGTTTTTCAACTAAATAAAAATAGTTTTTGTATACTATATACACTACATTTTCAAGGTTTTAGGCCTTCCAAATATGGCAGTTCTATGCCACTTCTTACACGCCAATAGACGGCTCAGCTGCTTATGACTACAATGAGTTGATATTAATGGATATTAGTCATACCAGTGGCAGGGAAACGTTTTATTATTAGTTATCTATTGGTTTGTACTTTTTTTAAATGTTCTATATGTTCTTTATTAGTCAGTAGTGACCATACCTTATATCTACTTCACAGTTTACAGATATAGAAATCATTTTTTCCAATTCTGTGTTCTTAAAAAGTTCCAATGGCACACAATTTCTTCTGTTATATGATGCTTATATGCAAGAGAAAATCTATGAAACTAATGAACAACTTTTCGACATTGAATAAACTTTGCTTTAATCCCTTTAGTATTGATTGCATAAACTTCTTTTGGGGTTTTGACTAAAGAAAAAGCACAAGACATAAATATAACTACAATTTAAGTATTCTAATTCTAAAAAGTAACTAAGTATGTCACTTTTAATATTAAAGCGGCACACCTCAACTTTGAATTACGATTGGCACTCTCCACATGTCCCCGTCTCCTAGAAATGTTCTTGCAGCAGATAGATGGCAGGTGGAGGAGAGGAGAGATTAGAATAGATTTAGGGTTAAAGATTATTTAAGTCACTTTAATGTCTAACAACAGTGTCATATTTTTAACATTGGAAACGCTCAGCGTCATATTTTGGTCACTGTTTCATTCATTCATTATCGGGTCTGCAGAAAATACTTATGTGACAGTTTGAGGTATAATATGTCTGCAATTTTGTTTAATGCAACCTTTATCAGGAATTAATGTTGTTGTGATGTTTAAGGTAGCAAGCTGGGGAGGGGATTTACTGGACCGTGGGATACTAACAGTCTCACTAGCACCAAGAGACAATCACGAGGCTCAAGTTCAGTTTGCTTTAGAACGTGGGATACCTGCCATTCTGGGGATCATTTCTACACAGCGACTTCCTTTCCCTTCTAGCTCCTTTGATATGGCTCACTGCTCGAGATGCCTTATTCCATGGACTGAATTTGGTAAATTTTCTATGAATAGAAAACTGATTCTTTCTTAATACAGAGTAGTATTCAAATTTAATTTTAATAAATAAAATTTACATATTTAAAAACTACACTAAAAGTTTTAAGAGTTTTTCTAAACTGGAAAAACTGAATTCAAATGTTATAAAAACATCTTATAAAATCACACACTAAAAGACAGATAAGTTGGCTGCATAATAGTGTTTGAGAAGTATGTTGATTGATACTCTATCGTTCTTTGATCTGAACCTAATGTGACTGAATAGATTTAAATAACTTTTTTAATTTAAAGGTGCATTACATGTAGTTAAGAATTGGCATGTTCGAGACAAACGGAGTATTTTTTTGTTAGAATATAGTACTCCCTCTCTTCCAAATTCAGCTTCACACTTACTTCTTTCGTTTCTTGCAAAGTTATGTTACTGATTCTTTTTTAAGAAAGACTTGGGTGGTTCATATATAAATAATATCTACTCATTATGTGGTTACTAGTAGTGCATGCGTGTTTCACACAACAGGAAAGTTATCTCACCTTGAGCATATACATCTGATTTATTGTTTTCAGGGGGGACATATCTTCTGGAGATACATCGCATACTACGTCCTGGAGGGTTTTGGGTCCTCTCCGGTCCACCAGTGAACTATGAGAATCGATGGAGAGGATGGAACACCACAATCGAAGAGCAGAGATCAGATTATGAGAAACTCCAAGATTTGCTAACTTCAATTTGTTTCAAACTGTACAACAAGAAGGATGACATTGCCGTGTGGCAGAAATTGTCAGAAAACAGTTGCTACAAGCATCTTGAAAGTCCCGACAACTACCCTCCAAAGTGTGATGACAGTCTTGAACCTGACTCAGCATGGTACACACCACTTCGAACATGTGTTGTAGTGCCAACTATAAAGGGCAAGAAAGTAAATTTGGAATCGCTTCCCAAGTGGCCCGAAAGGTTGCATGTTGCCCCGGGGCGGGTTCTTGATGTTCGTGGAGGAAATGAAGCTGTCTTTAGACACGATGATAGTCTGTGGAAGAAACGAGTGAAGCACTACAAGAAACTGCTTCCTTATCTTGGGACTGATAAGATCAGAAATGTCATGGACATGAACACATTATACGGAGGTTTTGCTGCTTCGCTTGTGGATGATCCTTTGTGGGTCATGAACGTTGTTTCTTCTTACGCAGTAAATACACTTACTGTGGTGTATGATAGGGGTCTCATTGGTACTTATCATGACTGGTAAGCTCAAACCACATTGCATTCTCAATGTTTTTTACTTCTTTTCTCGAGTAGGGTCATTATCTTATACTCATCAATTCCAATTGTTTATATATTCTTATTACAGGTGTGAAGCCTTTTCAACTTATCCTAGAACATATGATCTCCTTCACGTTGATGGCCTCTTCACTGCTGAAAGTCATAGGTATGTATGGCCTTTGAAGTTTAGGCCTCGTGTGTTACCCAGTGCTGGCTTATTCTGCTTAAATTGCTTATCAGCACAATGAGCATCATTTTTCACTCATTTGGTGTAAAAGGAAGTCACCAAAAGCTTTTCCTTTAAAAGAACTCGACATATTTGTCAGTCTTCTATATCATCTAAATATGGAAATAAAAAATTAAAACCTAAGTTTTGGGCTACTCTTCCTTCAAAATTGATCACTTCTGATGTAACCTAAATCTTAATATGTGGTAAAAGTCAACCTACTCCATAGATATGATATAGGTCTCCTATGGAAAAAAGTACACGGTTCAGATGTGCCATTATGGAATATATATGAAAAAACTACTAAAAAAAAACGCAGACTTAGCCTTGCATTCATTATTATAAATTTATAATGTACAAATATACCCTTGTACTATGAGTGTGAGAACAAATATATCTCTGTTCTATTTTTTGGAAAAAATATACCCTTAATGTTTATGTGGAAGTGCAATGTATACCCCCGTAAAAGTGAACTTTTATATGCACTTCCACATACACTTTAGGGGTATATTTATTCCAAAAAATAGAACAGAGATATATTTGTTTCCACAATCACACTACAAGGATATATATGAACCTTTTCCTTATATAAAAAATAAATCAATGTAATACTCCCTCCGTTCCGAAGTTAACTTCCGGGTTTGACTTCACCTATAGGAAAAAGTAAAAAATTGACCTTCCAAAATTACCTTTACATAGTAAAAGATGTAGTGATCCAAATAAATTAAAAGAGGTAAATGAATAGTAAAAGTAAGGGGTTGCACGGAAACGCAAAAATCAAGAGGAAACGAGAAATGAACTTTTGCTAAAAAAAACGATTGTTTGGAGAGTTTCCGAAGAGTTTACATAGAATTTTCGCAATGAAAACGTACTCTTTCCCTAGAATTTCCATGCTATATCGATAGGGGGCAAATAGGTACTTTCAAAGTAAAAGCTTATCAAAGTTAGAAATAAAAAGTAAAATAGGAAGTTAATTTTGATACAACCCGCAAAGAAAATATGGAAGTTTAAGGCATTGAGCTACCTTTCATTTGGTAAAAGTCTGTTTGGTAATAAAATAAAATAAAATTAAATGACAAGAAATTTTATTCTACTTATAAAATAAAGAAAAAATGAAAAGAAAAAACTAAAATTTCCTATTCACCAAATCTAGTCAATTTTTTTTTACCCAATTCAGGGCTAAAAACCAAAAGCTTTGTGACCCTGGCCCGTGACCTTGTTTGTCCTCATTTATCAACCTTGACCTATCTCTTCTTCCTTCCCATGCTTGTGCAGATGTGAAATGAAGTATGTGCTTCTAGAAATGGATAGGATATTGCGGCCAAAGGGGTACGCATTGATTCGCGACTCCACTCAGTTTATTGATTCAATCGCGGCCATTGCTAAGAGGATGAGATGGAGCTGCCGTAAAGAAAATACAGAGGATGGGGGAGGAAATTCAAAGGTGTTGGTTTGCCAGAAGGAGCTCCGCCATTCTTCTTAGCCGCGCGAGTTCACCATGTGCAGGTTTCCCTGAAGTCTCTTTGGGGGGAGACGTAATTTACAGTGCGCTGCACTGGTCGATCGTATAGAAAAAGTCAATATTTTTTTATCTATAGATGCTTGAAATCGAATTTCTTATTTTCCGAAAAGAAAGTCTCAATAAGGAATGTATTTCTGATATACGTACTTCAGTTTTGGTGACCTAAAATATAATTTTGGCGAGGCTGGGCTGTTGACTTTTGGTGTTGCTCTTTCTAAAATACTAGTATGATTTTGTGAGATTTTGGTACCTAGCAAAATCATTAAATCAACCGGAATATGTATTGAATTGAATGAATATGCTCAATTATGAAAAAGTAATTTGAAAATGTAAAAATATATATATATATGAAAAATAATTAAAATGATCATTTATATTATGTAATGTATAGATGTACATTAACCTTACTCATAAATATGATTAAGGTTCAGCTCATTAGTACATGTAGCCCCAGTCCATTCTCTCCTTGTATATATATATGCACTTTTATATGTGAATGAATGCAAACTTTTGTACATTCCCTTTGTATGGTCTCAATATATCGTTCAGTAGGTATCACATCATATATTAAGGATGTTTATATTTGGAATGAGATTTTCTGATCTAGTTTAGTCTGGTAAACGTCCGGTCTTTGTGTATATTATAATTGTCAAAGTCTGGTCTGATCTTAGACTGAAAACAGACCAAGTAAAAACATCCTAAGTTACCTCTTCGTAGTGTTTGAGTAGCTGAGAGTCAATATCTGACTTTTTATCATTACTATTTATGTGCACAACTTATTTAGAGGAATGGTTATTTCTTTCTACATTTATTTATCCATATAGGATTAAATTCTTAACGTGTGACTTTCTTTAAAAGTTAATTTCATTTGAGTTTTATGCAAGAGCGCAGATTATACATCTGATTGTACAGTGCTCACTAAAAATATATATACTTATTTTGAATTAATAAAGACAAATACAACCATCAAAGTATACATTAAATCTACTCTTATAGTGACTTCTAGCATATTGTTATACTTTCATAGTTCTATTCATGAAATTTCATTTGTTTTCTCCCCCCTCTCGAGTGATAACTATTCAATCACTACGTATCTATTGTATCTGGAAATGTCCATATCAATTATAAATGGAGAGATTAAAGCGTACATGGACTTTTCTTTTCATGTGCATTTTTCTTAATGCTTTATCAAAGTAACATGAATAACTTTTCGCAATAACACAAATACACTAGAAACACAATGAAATGTCAACCATGTGATAAAGTTTTCCAAAATTGAACTTCACGATTATAAAATAGTTTGATAGATGTACTATATTCGAGTTAAAGTTCTTCTCTAAAAAAGGTTATAGTTCTTATTTTAATCAATATTGATTCATGACTATACATAATATATGTATAATTTACATAAGACTATACAAAAGTATATAATGTGCTTCCGGGGGTGTATATGATGTATTGATGTATATGTACAAAAGTAATGTGTTGAGGTTTATTCCTTCAACCCAAAAGTTCAACACGTACCCTTGGATTTTGAATGAATGTTTTTGGTGGATTAGGTGATTAAACAAGCAAGAGAAGAGCTACTTCAGTCAAAAGAAGTAGCCATATCTTATTAAGTCTCAATAAGAAGCCGAGTACTAACAACTTCGTTACAAAATCCTGAGGCTGTTCGTCCTACTGTATGCTAAGAGCTGATTACAAATGTTATATGCTAGAGTGCTAAGATGCCAACCTCTCACAATGAAATAAATGTTGCTATTTATATTACAAGGGGGTAGGTGAAGTGGTTGAGGTGGATGGTTGTGGATGGCTAGCTTCAACCACCAAATCTATTGCATTAAATGCGGTACGCACCAGTATTTTGGTTTCCCACCATAACTAGGGCCGAGCGTCCTGATGGGCCTGGATGGGGGATCCTTGCTAGGCCAAGGATAAACTTCCGTTCGTATTTGCTGGATGCAGATGAGCATCCTGTGCTTAGTCAGACCGGGCTCTATGGCATTCAAGTATGTAATATGTATGGCTCTCGTTAAACCTTCTGGTCGTGGGTCCTGGAGTGTCATTCGGCATGTGACAGGCAACAGTATTGTGACACAAAATAATCAAAGAAAGAATCACAGAATAATATGCCAATATGATGATCGTTGAAACCCTCTCTGGTATACCGTGTAAACCTTTTACAGAATAATGTTGGCGCTGAAGCTCAAAGTCGAATATCTAAGTTAACACAAATCTTAGCCTTATGCGCATATTTATATGCGCAGGCAGGTTTGCATAAAGGCTTTATGTCGGGAATATGGGCCTGATAACTTTGGCCTCATATCATTTTCTAGCCTATTTAATATAAATAATCAATGCGCAAATACAACGATATTTAAATAGATTGGACACCATAAAATATTCCCAACAATCTCCCCCTCGGTGTTCAATCGTGTTCAATCAGCATTGTAGCGCAATCTTCCCTTTGATGTCTTCGTGTTGAAATCGACTTCTAAAGAAGGCTTTCTGAAGAAATTTTTGCAATCTCCCCTTTGATGTCTTCTCGACAATTTGATCTTTGATGTCGGGGGTTGAGGAGTCTTGAAACTTTTGCTTGTAATCCTTGCATTCCAGAAGTAGCTCTTGATCAGCTTGACTGCAAATCCGAAGGCGCCTCTAGAATGAATGTTCTTAAAGAATTGCAGACACATATGAGATTCGATTACCTGACCTCTGCTCCTCTACAATGTAGTCTTTTTGACTATTTGAAGTGAATGCTTTTGAGGAGAACTTGTCGGTGGCACGGCGGAAAATAATGGTTGATTTGTGACCGTAGCTGACCATTTGATGTGAAACTGACTTGGTAGTCTTGATGATTTGAGAAGTACAGAGCTGTCGTTGATTTTTGTGGTGGAGGAAGGAAGTGTCCGAGAATGATTTTTGAGTAAACAACATGCAAACCACTCTCCCCCTCATGACGATCCGGTGAATTGGGGCGTCATGCCTTTATTTATTCTTTTATTCTGGTAAATAAAAGAGAAAAACAAATAGAAAGGTAAAATGATAAAAACCGGACACACTGAGGTGTTCCGTTATCACAACATCAATGTAAACACTGATGTGTGGCCTGTAAAAATGATAGAAGCATTAAAGCTCTAACAGGACTTCCAACCAGTCATTGTGAAGCATCTAAAGTAGATGTCACTCTCGTTGTTATGGCATGATCATAAAGATCAACAAAGATAACGTAGCCCCCCGAGGTCGTGTAGACGCCCGTTATCATCACTATAGAGATAAACTCAGAAGCGATGGCCTGAACATGTTGGTGATTTCTGTGTTGCAACAGCAGGACTTCCTTCCAATCATTGGTCTTCATCTATAGTAGATGAGCCCTATGGAAGTTCTCACGGGTCATGAAGACCTGCAACTCACTCTAAAAAGTGTGTGTGTCCTAGAAAATTCAAAACATTTGAGAGTGAGATTACTAGACACGGCGTGATCAATGAATGTTCAGTGGCGTGGGGCTGTGGGCCACTATAGTCAGTATCAGTCACCTCAGAAGGAGACAATGATAAGAGATGAGGTTCCCCGTGAAATATGATTAAACACATGTCTGTTGGGAGACACGTGAGTGTTCTAGTGTAGGGTTGTGCATGCGCCGTTTGGACAAAATGCAGCGACTTCTACCCGGGATCTGAATAAATTCAGTCCTGAACCTATGGGAATTATCCAGAGTATTTGAGTGACTGAGAGTAATTTTCTCGATTCATAGCACAATAGAGGTAGCAAATTTGACAATGATTATTGTTCTCTTGCTCACTTGAGCTTTCTGTTTCTTCACTCTCATAGTGTTCACTCAATTACTCACTCACTCTCGGTTTTGTTCCTTGGGTAGGCTTTGTTGGGTTTACTAAGCCATTGGAACTTATCTCTCATTTCTCTTTGCTCTTTTCTTTTCTCTCTGTACTCCCCCTCAATTGGAGCACTCAGTAGGATGCCTTTGATGATGATTGGCATTTGGGAGGAGAACTTTGAAAACTCCCCCTCAAAATCTGCATCCTTGACAGAATCCTTGCATTGTAAATTATCTGGCACCACGAGGACAAAAATGAAACTTCTCCTCAGAAGTTGCAAGTGTTTTGTGTGTCACCCAGGGAGTAAAGTAGAAAACTCCCCCTTGGAATGTGCGTTCTTCGTTGTTTGGCACCAGGAGGAGTGAAACAGAAACTCTCCCCCTCAGAATAAGCATTCGTTGTTTGTTGTTGGCACGTGTTGGTGTTGGAGGTGTGCATTTGATGATTTTCAGCTTGGTGGGAAGTATACACGTCAATACTCTCCTTGATAATGTGCACCCGTTGATTGCTCACAGCTCGTCTTCATACCCGCCATGTGTGTGGTGTTAGTATATATGTCCTAGCGACAATCACTTTTAGAGATACATGTACTTGATCACATTCAGTTTTATATATTTGATATATACGGTACTACACATTGATGATTAAGTATTACGATTGTCAATATCTTATTCATAATTGTGTTCCCTTGGACTTATGTTGTCAATAAGTAAGTGGAGCTTATATGATATAACATAAGGTCCTAAAATAGCCCTAATCAATGATCATCAAGAATGGGATAATGATGATATGCGATAAGATTGGTATGTAGACTGTATCATACTTTTAGAAAGTATAGTTGATCTCACAACTATGAGTTTCTGTAATTCATGATGGTCACATAGATATTTTAGAGAATATTGGCATACCCACCGAGAAACCATTTGATAAGTTATATTCATGTGTCTATGGGATTATCGACATATGGAGTAGTGTAATAGTCCTCCGACTCGAGGTCAATGCGTACTGCATGTGCGGGGTGATTTACTTTGACCATGACCAACGCTTGCACTCCAATCGGGGTAAATACGACATGTGTTGGGTGCATCACGAAGTACATGGAGTAGTAGTTGAGCCAAGAAAGGATTAAGAGAGAACATTCAACTTCTCATATCTAGATGGATCATAAAGTCATTGGCCAATGCAAGGATATATTCGTTTTGGATATCGAATATGATCGTTATAGATCATCTAGAAAGATTGAGAGACAGAGACTAAGTTATTGGAATAGACACAATATCATGTTCTAGACTTAGTTGAATTTTCGTTGAATGAAATGACCGTATCACTATGAGCTCTATATTACAGGGAGTTTGAATAGTCCTCGCAAACGTCCTTATATATTAAGTTTGTCTAGTAAATTGTCTAGGGATTCTGCTAAGACCTTAATTTGATTAGTGCTTAATATATAAGACCATATGGGTCACACAACAAGTGATTATACCTTTCGATTGAATTGTTAGAAGGAGTTAAATATTATTAATTGGATTAAATAATATTTAATTCGTAATACTGGAAATGGATTAAATATTAATTACATTAAACATATTTAATTTATGAAGATGAAGGATAGTTCTATTTGATAGAATTAATTAAGTGTGATAAGTTAGATTTATTATACTTAATTAAGATGTATTTTAAATAAATAAAGTTTATACTTTGCTTTACAATTTGGAATTAAAAGAATGGAAACACTAATGGAGAAATACTAATAAAGATTGAAAAGGGCGTGCAGCCAACTTTCATCTTATTAATACGTATTAGTTTGATCATTTTATTTATTTAATTAATTAAGTACAATAATTATTGGGCCTAGTTGGACCAGAACTCATTAATTAGTAAGACTTTCATTGTGATTGGGTAACTAGTTTAGAACTAGTATAAATACATCCTCCTCCTTCATAATTCATAGATCAGTTTTCTAGATTCGGTATTGCCAGGTTGTTTCACTGCAAAGAGATTTCCTAGCCTTTCTCTACGAGATCTAACCGTTCTTTCGGAAAGGAGAAATCACGTGGATACCTAAGGTCAAGGA